GTCTCACAGTTAAAGGGAGATAAGTCTCATTCATCTCGTCTTCAGTACACATATTTAAATCTTGCATATTACCTCGTGTAATGTCACACATTGCAACATTAGAATCAAAATTTTAGATATCAGGACACTGTGATGTTGCATTATTAAACATTTAATTACATTCTGTTTAAAATTCTGAACAGGTCTGCAGACAAATTGAATAAGGAGTGTTGGCACAACCCAGAACAGAATGCAGTTCAATAATTTATTTATACATATTTTTAATTTCAGTTATTTTAATTGAAATTTTAAGGATAATTTCAATCACATGAACAGTACCCCCAATCCCAAACTGCCAGTATTGGCCAGCTATCTCCAATGATATAAATTAGCTGGTCACAATTGTAATGACATTGTATACGTAGTGACAGTCCCAGAATTATAATCTCATAAATCACAACCGGCTGCTGTAAGTTTATAAAGTGGCAATGCAGAGTAAATGTGATATATAAGACAATGAACATGATAGATGTCAAGATGGCAATGTTGAAGACCTATAATATTAATATTCTGAGATTATTTTTTTTTTTGCAAATATTCGCATACATACCAAGTATATATACAGTTTAAGGCAACATATTGTAAATAATACACAGCAGTTTGATAATGGGCGTATACAGTTCCATCTAACTCTTCAACTTTCCACACAATCAAGAGAAAACTATCTTTATATAGATTCTACTTATATGACACTTAATTACCAGATTAGTTGGGTATGGACGATATTAATTTCTAGAATATAACAATGATTCAAAAATCAGAAAACCCATCACCAAACTTTGCGATATTAACATGTAACTTGTCATGAAATGTGCAGAATTTAAAGCTTTTTCACTGTAATGTAAAATGTATATTTTTCAATATAGATATTGGTCATGTATATATATTTGTTGAATTATGCATTTTCCATGAACAATTATGCCAGCAAAAATGCAACAAACATTGGGGTAATATATAATGTTGGGTAAGTGAACACAAAATATTAACATTTATGTAACAAAAACAAATAATATAGATTGAAATGGATAACAAATGTAAAATATATTAGAAATAAAACTTCTAACAAACAATGTTAAATATACTCATTTAAATGTCGGTCAATAAACATTATGCAACCTGTAGTATTGTTACTGGTAATTGTGAACAGTAGCAGAACTGTAGACCATATTGATTTAATTTCCAAGTCCATGAGGTGGTTCTTCTGCAACTGTGAACAAACAGAGGGAACATTAGGCGGTGCTTTTGAAAATACACGCAGTGTACATGAACGAACTAAAGTCCATGAATACTTTATGTCAAAATATCACAGAACCGTTAGCCAAGATGTTTCTCTAGATCGGTAAATGTATTGATTAAGACGAGACATCATTCTGTGCCTCTCTGCTAGACTGACCACCACCCTCAACATCTTCGATAATTGACTTGTTGTGTAAGCCTAATAGACCCAGTGTTAAGTACAAGTAGGTGATAACTGGCGTCACCAAACCAGAGCGGGACAGATGTGTGTAACCAACGGCAAGGAATATCACCGGCTCCAACCTCCACACTGACCTCACAGTAAACGGGAAATGTGTAAATCTTACAACAAATGTATCAATTGTTCAGCTGGGGAGTCTGGGTCCCTTTGTTATACTGCCACCATCTTGCGGTGAAATGTCCTAGACATAAAGGTGATAAATCAAGGGAAACATATCAACTTGTCTCCGAAGGTTACGGAAACAGATTAAGAAATTTTGTCAATGCGTATATTTTTGAGATTACTAGGAAATTGATGGGTCAGCAAGGGCCAGCCCATGTGCCTAACTCTAAACAAAATGTAGATCCTCAGTAATTGCAAAACAGCAGCAACAGCGACCATCTTGGATTTCTGTATATGATTAATAAGGTATTACACACTTACCAGTATGTAACAGAATATTTATCATATTTGTAAAACTAAGACAATCTAGAAGCGATGGTGGCCATCTTGGATTATCAAATCCTCATGATGTGTTCTTATTCCCCGTGTCAACTATCTACTAAGTATAAATTACCACCAAATATGATCAGCAAATCAAAGCCAATGACCTTGACTAGTGGCCATCTTGAATTTCAGGATCCTGGTAATATTGTATTATTGGATAGCTCTTACGGCCCAAAAAGGACAATACAACATATTTCTTGTAAGAACAAACCCCATTCTATTTTCAGTAACAGAGACCTTGACCTATTAAATATTGCACATCTATATATTACAGAGTATGACATCATGTTAAATTACAGAAATTTAGGACTTCTAAACTCTTAGATAATATCCAGACAGGTAAGTGAGAACAGACAGAAAATTTATATAATACATACAGATTTTGGCAGTGATCAGATTACATACATTTTAGAGGTTACCAAGTAGAATATCTTTATACTTAGATCTATACATAGGCCTAGGAAGTCTAATAAGATAGCAATCTTGTAGGAACCGAATGAAAAATATGTAGAATAATTACCTGTACATTACAGGTGATATAATATATAGATCTAAAGTTAGATACTTAAAGAGATTCACTTGTAAAGGTTTTCCGAACACAAAACGGTAGAAAAATCTGCACTGTAATATAAATGTGCTGCAAATTTCATTTCTTATCTCCCACTGATACGTAATACTCAGGTCTGCTAAAAACATAATTACCAGTAACAACTAATGTCTTTGGCTAACTTAAAACATGGACAATGATTTGATAAATAAAATGAGATTCGAAGTCAAACAACCCATCATACAAAATCATGTTACACAGCCATATTACGTTATAGAATATGAAGAATTGAGTTATATGGAGAACATGAGACAGATTTAGAGAGTGGTGATCGTGCAGATTTCGACAACATAAACATAATCATTATGGAATGTCAGGATTATCTTTACCAATTTAATACAAATATTAGGATTTCTTTTTCATACCAATCACAACACATTGTAAAAAGTTAGTTAGAATTCTTGTTAATATTTCAAATCCATGTAAATAAGTATTTGTAATAAATATAAATTATACATAGTTTAAACAAACGTCTTCGAGGGTGTCTGTCCCACAGCACTGAGCTTATTTGGTATATGAAGTAGCCTTCCCTTGATTTCAGTTTAGATATAAGAGTACCCCGGTACCACAGTGAGCCCCGGACACTTCCACTGACCAGGTAGCTCAATCAGTTAGAGGGATAGTAAAACAATCTGAAGTCCAGGCCAGTGTCCAAATCCTGGTCAAGCCCTGCTATATTTTTACTCTCAGACACTGTTGTGGACTATTATTGGGTTTTTTTCATCTCTGTTATTTTTCATAAAAGCCCACAAAGGTATGGTTTTCTACTTTTCAAAAATGGTTTAGTGATAGTCATGCCTGCAGAATCGGTTCCCAGTGCCTATAGTTACAGTTTTTGGCAGTGGTACGGGGATCCTTAATGAGTAATAATGAATGTCCCTGATCAGACATGTCCACCAGCTTTTAACTCATTTTCCCCTGAAATTTCATAATGAACTAGTCCAACCTTTGAACTGGAAGGGTTCAAATGTGTCGTCAGGGGCGATTGAGTTAACGAACACAAAAAAATAACCTTTTCCGGTCCAGACTTAAATATAGACTGAAATTCTACTTCATGTCAAACATTCAAACAAAAAGATGTATGGTTTAGTTAGTGATTAAAAACCTGATGGGGAGCTATCGTGATCCTTAGTAATTAAAATAACCAATAAGCATGGCCAATATTGATTTTCCCTTTGTCAACCAAAGAGTAATATGTGTGACCTAGCTATCTCCTCATTTACGTAGGTGGAGATGAATCTGAACCGCTTACAGATCAATGACAAATCAATCAATGACTTGTGAACTTAACTTCACATAAGTTAAACATTTAAAATTGAAATAATTCAGAATTTCTATTGAAAATGTGAACATTTTTCATATGGGTGTGTTTTTGTCTGATTGGATTTTTTTTGAATCCCAAAAAATCATGATTTCTATTTCAAACTTTAATCTTTATGAACATTTCTTGAACAGATGATTTTCTCCAAGACTGTGTCAAGCTAACAAATCTTTCGAGTGAGGTTTTAACTACTGCACCAACGAATTTGTAATGATGAAGCTTAAATACAAACTAGTCATCCATTAAATCGCACAGCCTTATTTTGGGGAGGAAAAGTCAGAAATAGCAATGCACACTACAGCTAATTTTCATTTAAGCTCATGAATAATAAAGTATAGAATACAGATATATTGGGCTGATAACGTCTGAATGGTAATGGAACATCGGCTCTGGTGCTAAATGTATCAGCTTTAAGCTACAGCCTAGCGTACAACTGTACCATATAAACAAAATCTGGTTTCAGGAATTCTGGTAGTATAAACTTATATTTTGCTCTCTCAAATCTACTTTAAGGACACAGATCACATCGACATTGTCAAATGCTGTTGTATTGTAGGCAATAAACATACCCCGAGACTTATGTTATGTCATCCTGAAACAAATATATTGCACACAAAAAAAAGACATACTTGGTACATGTATATAAAAAACAACTAGAAATAAATTTTAAATATGATCAGCTATAACGTGATTAAATAGAGATTTTCTTTAATTTCTAAGAGATGTTATATCAGTGAAAATAAAGTAAGGGATAACCATGCGTAATGAAGAAATCTAAGGAATATTACTAAGAACCTAAAAAGTTGATTGAAGTAAATGCATATTATGGTAAATATATCGTGAAATTTAAATCTGAAAGTTCTTGTCACTACAGGTTTTCAGTAAAATGTACTGACTTCAGTAAACTGCAGACATACTATAACTGGTTTCAAGGAAGAATGATAATAATACCCCACCCTTGAAATTGCACTCCTATTCAACCTCAACCTCTGTTTAAAATAAACTTTATTTATTTTACAACAATTATGGAACAAGTNTTATTTTACAACAATTATGAAACAAGTTTTTACAACTTATATTAATGACTCTTGTTGGCCCGGTTTTACAACTTATATTAATGACTCTTGTTGGCCCGGATGTTATCGAGCGGGGAATCTGACTGAGGGAGGACACCAGAATACCTGTAGAAACCCATCTGGTCGGGCAGGTGACCGCATACCTTTTCACGTCCGATCGGGGAATCGAACCCCGGCCACCTTGGTGAAAGGCAAGTGCGCTATCCACTGTGCCACCCGACCACCCAACCTCTTTTTGTATCAAATGCTTTTATCAAAGGAATGTATGTAAGCAATGTATATTTGTTACTAATACCACAGTCTAAGGTTGTACGTATAGTTGTAACTTTAGTATCTAATAGAGAATGTCAAATTTTGCATTAAAATTCATGTCTTTGCCAGTGTACAAGTAAATTGAATTGCTATCTATACGCTTGTACAATTAATCTTAACATCAATTGATAATAGAAGCATACAAGTTATTTTAATTGATATCAATACAATTGTACAACTAACTTCAATCTACTACTTTGCAAGAAAGCACCACAGAAAACATAAATACTACTACTACCAGTACTACTAAAAAACAAAAATAAATAAAATAAAATAATTTTGGATAGACTTCCACTCTGAACTTTGTTATTAGTTTTACCCTGATAGAGAACAATCTTATACAGATTCACAAAGTATTGCTTCATCATATTCGCTCACGTATTTAAATCAACATGACTGTATAACTACAGACAAGGTTAATGACAGAAATATTTCGATCGCCCCAACGAATAGACAATGACACCATATACCACATTAAACTTTGTAATCACACTGTCATTCCCAAACATGTTTCAAACAAAATTTGCTGCTGTTTTTAACTTTTTAACTGTTTTAGGTTCACACTATTTCTGCTCTTTCATGTTATTAAGCCACCATTAAAGACTTTTACTATTTACGCAAACTTGATAGTACAGTGGTACCTACTCTAACTTCTACAAACTCTCAACAGTATCCTACAAACTCTCAACAATTTCCTGTAATCTCCCAACAGTACTTCATTTAAAATATCAACAGTACTTTTTAAACTCTCAACAGTACTCTGTAAAATCTAAACAGTATCCTGTAAACTCTTAACAGTATCCTGTAAACTCTCAACATTATCCTGTAAACTCTTAGCAGTATCCTGTAAGCTCTTAACAGTATCCTGTAAAATCTGAACAGTATCCTGTAAACTTGCAACAATATCCTTCAATCTTTCAACAATCTCCTGTAATCTCCAGACAGTACTTCATTTAAAATATCAACAGTACTTTTTAATCTCTCACCAATATCCTGCAAACAACGTACATCAGATAGCATTTTGCAAATCCAGCCATGAACTCATTTGCTCCACAGAGCTTTCTGTTTTGCCTGCTTCCCGAGTTGCTGGATTGTACCAGCCTTATACATGCCCAGTTTGATGCCAGCCTTTGCTCTGTTTTCATTGAAATGTTTGACGGGGAAGGGACTGAATGGCTGCTGTTTCGTGGATTTAGACACCATTGCTGATTTACTCTTGGAATAATTTCCCAAATGTTCTGAAATCACCTGATTTGATAACACAGAGTCCTGTGAGCTCTGTGACAAGCTTCTTTCCGATCCAGATCTTTCACTATAACCAAAGCACCTTTCTGAAGCAGAATCAGTTGGACTAAACACAGAACTGGAGTCGGAGTCTGAAACCTGTTTCTTTGACTCCTGATCTGGTGAGTTGATCACAGAAGATGAAGAGTTATTTTCAAAACAAGATGAATTCGCTCGTTCTATGTCTAGTTTGGACAGCTTTGTTCCACCATTTTGACTTGTGTATTTATTGGCTGTAAACCACTTCTCTGTGAATACTTTTACAATATCTTTCTCACTGTCATCTGTTACTGAACTCACAGGAATATCACAGTTGGAAGCTAAATTATGGGATGTCGGAGCTGTTTCCTGATTTCCTTCTTCCTTTATCACTGATTGACCACCTTTAGAGCTTAACTCATTCACATTGTGATCTTCTGTCAAACGTCTGTCATTGGGTATATCAGACGTATTGTCTGTCTCTGTTTTAACGATCTGGTCAACCACATCAGTGTTGTCAACAACAGCATCATCACCTTTCACCTCCGAGAATAACTCCTCTTGTTTGAGATGCTCTAAACTTAAGCTCTCAACATTTTTCCAGATCAGAGGGAACATCTTGGGACTTCCTTCATCGGGACTAGAAACACTCATAATGTCGGAGACATTGGATTTCGATACAGAAATACTGGAATGTGGAGATGTGTTACCATGGCAACTTTCGTAAACGTCAGATTGAGACAGTCCATTTTCATGGCTGTGTGATGTTGACTCACCATCAACAACTGGCGCACTTGGTTTTCCTTCAGGTAAAGCATGTGAATCTAAACGTGAATCAATAGTCAAAGTATCATCGTTTGAATGCTTGATATCACTGCTAACACTTGACTTTCTACTTAGTTCTTGGTCTGATAAATGTTTGCTTTCGTACATTTTGAACTCTTTGATGCGTGTGATATCGCCCTCGGAGCCAGACTTGTCTGTTAACTTCCCTGGCGGTGTCAATGACACATCACTCGTGTTAGATTCTATCGATATTGTTCGACAAATACCAGAAGAGTTCTCAATTCCTGACCTTTCTCCTTCTTTTGATTTTTCGGAAGATCGGCTTGACCTCCTACTGGGTGACCTTTGTTTCTTAATCTCCTGTAGAAAATGGTGGACTATGGTAGCCTGGGGGTAGGCAGTGGCTATTCTTGGACCTTCAGCAACCATTTTGTTTTTCCCGCCAACAAAACCTTTCCCAACAAATAAGTGATTGATTGCCTTTGGAGATTCTATTTTTGGGGTGATGAATTTCGTCTTTGCTTGTTGCTTGGCAGATGCAGCTGGAAAAAGTAAAAGCAAATGAAAGCACATATTTTTTTTTAGCAATTTGTAATTTTTCAAAGAGGAATTCCTAAAACAGACGATCTACAAAAACTGACTAGGCGTAATCACTAATTCGGTTATAACAATTAACAAGAACATAAACTAACAATTAACCATTGTTTTGGCACTTTCTCATAACAACAACTTACCTGGTACTTCAAATACGGCCTTGCATGTACATATAACAAGAAGAACAATATGTATGAAATATCTTATCAATCTTCTTAGGTATATAGAATACTCCATCTCAAGTAAGTGAACTACGAAAGTGAAATGCTTTCTGCAGAAGTAATGTTTAACACTGCGGTATTAACAACAGTCTATATTCTGATACCAACTGTCTTACGAATACTGTCCCATACTGTATCGATGGACTTTCTATAAAATAACTATCTGTTATAGACATTAGGGGGTATGACAAAGAGTAACTATCTGTTATAGACATTAGGGGCTATGACAAAGAGTGAATTAATTGATGTTAATAGGTACCTTTTTGTAGCTACTATAGACAAGAAAAATTCACCTTGATACAATCTATTTTTTTCCTTTGAGTCAAATAGATACATTTTGTCGTAAGTGGATATCTATGCTGGCTCTGTATCTGTTGTGTATATGGTGCAGGTACTATTACTTCAGTAATACTGTATATGTGAAAACTAATGACTGATGAGGCAATGTTAAGTATACATGAACATTATTTTCAATGATAAGGCTATATGTAGTAACACTATCATCGATATCACACCCATAAATTTCATGGTAAAGCTGTTGACTGCCAATATAGCACAGACGTCATGTACATACGGTACCACCCTTTATTTATTAATTGATGTGCACATTGAAATGATGATCTTCTTGCTGTATGTATAACGGTGATTGTAAGCCTTTTTTGTTTAACAGATATAACTAATACTATTATCCGTATGTTGTAAAGCGCTTTAGAGTAATTTTACAAATTATACAGGGCGCTTATATACATGTTGTATATTATTAGTATTATTTTAGTGAATTAATACCCAGCCAATAATTAAAACAACTAAACAGACACACCCACTATCTTATGCAAGCCTACAAGGAGCCTTTATTATCTCCAAACTTCTGTAGGCCCATCTCTTCAAGGGCTATAGGATGCCGGAAAGTCAGGGAAATTTGTTTCCATTTCAAACTAGGTAGCTAACCAACCTACCTGTATTACATAGCCCAAAGCTTCTTCCCTTCTGTTAGAAGACTGACTACCTAACCAAAGGTTGTTATAGTCTCTCAACCTACATACCTACCTATACCTATCTTCCTACCTACCATTGTGATGTTGGCCTGTCTCTACCCAAGTGGTCTTCCATCTCTAGATAGACCGCTACTGCAGGAGCTGCTAGACCTCTGCCCTTTGACAGTTCATAAGGTGAGCTTGCATCTCCCAAATATTAAAAAGCTCTTTTTTTCTAACACAAAATAGATGTATGTTATTAGGCCCGCTTTCCACCTACCAGTATACCTGAATCTACCCTTGGTTACTCTCACTGAAACCCCTATCATATACATGTATTAGGTCCCCTTCACTTAGACCAGTGTGATTAATGCCTGTATCCACATGAGGGGTCACCCCTTCTCCCACTAGATAGCTCCCCCCCCCCCC